AGCAATCATAAAAGGCTAATAATCAAAATTAGAAAGTTTAGACATTAATACTAGTTATAAATTCGTGACGGTAGCTGCAATTTAAATGTTTCTATATGCATAAATAGGTGTTCCTTTTTTACATATAGGAAGAACAAGTGATAGCATGCAGATGATTGATTTGAATGATATAAACGTGTTTAACATATACAAGAACAAAATATACATGTATATCTTTGATCTAATCAAAGGTGCATATTGTAACATGGAATATTAATAAAATGATTTGCATATAAGATAAGATAACATATACTTAAGCGTTGAAAGCATTGTTTACCTTGTAAAATTTAAACACATATTATAAATAAGGAAATACTATAGTAGAAATTTCATGAAGTGGATCAATGAAATGTGCAAAGCGTATGTAATGCAAGGAAGTCTTGTAATGCTAACTCTATAAAATCTAGCAAAATTATAATATATATATCATAAAGATATAACAGAAAATCTACAGAAACTACAATTATAAGAATAAATTTTAAACTTTTTATATTATTGCCTGGTTAGTGAAGTGGTGCAATGAATGTTTGATGATTTATGAACGCCTCCAGTCACCAGGATCCTCCACGATAGTTGTAGGGTGATCTGTAGTAGGAGGAGGTACAGAACCCTGTGGGGAACCCATACCCGACGTCATTCCTGCTTGGTCGGGCCTGGATCCTCTGTTATTATTAGTGTATTAGCAACAACACTGGGAAATTACACTTATCAAATATATTATTGTTATTTTAGCAATATATATTATTTAGTATTATAATTTAATGATGCCATGTAGTAAATATTTAATAATCAATTCAGTAAAATTCAATAATAGATTCTATTAATAGTTTTATACACAGTGTTTCAACTTCTAACAAGTAAACTTGCAAAATATATGAACATTTACAAACTTAGTTCTATGACTTTGTAGAGACATTTGTTTGGGAGTTTTTAAAATTTACTGTTATATAAGATTATATAATTAATTTATAGTTGTATACACATGCATATATAATTAATTATATAATAACTCTTATATAATCTATTTTTTTAATCGAAACCCTGAGTCTTATTTCCTCTAATTTTGAGAAAATATATTTCTTTTATTTTGGCTGTAGTATATGCTTTCAAAATTTTTGTGATTCAAATTTAAAACACTATGTATACAATACGAGTTACCCAAAACCCATAGCAACAAACACAAACATAAATACAAACGAACTCAAGGTAATATAAACAATTACTCTTCCACCTAAAAGCAAATGTGTGCACACATTATTGCAGAACACACCATATAGTTTGTTTAGTGTAATACAATACAAGGAATCATTATGATTACTGGAAATGAATATAAGAGACAGAATGTGAGAATATCATTTAACAAATACTTGTAAATAAGATACTTACTTTCGACCAAGCGACATCAATCCATATATTACACCTGTTGCAAATATTAGGCCACCGCCGAATATACTATTCACCCCTGTACAAAGGAAGACTGGTGGGACTGCCATTCTGAAATAATGAAAAAATGCTGCATATCTGATTTACAAGTAAAAGAATATAGCACTCAAAATGAAAAAAATACAGCACAGAAAGCATTAAAATATTTATTTGAAAGGCACACTTACAAACAATATGCTGCTGCTCTATTCCAATACGGTCTCTTTTCCACCCAATCGCTTAAGTTTTGTACAAAATCAATGAATAGACAGCAACACGGTGCCTCTATCATTACAACTATAAAACCAGCCATCATCTGCCACACGCCACTAATTAGGCAACTTACAGAACCAAAGAGTATCATTACACAATTCCATGCTCCAAGAAAAATAGCAACTGCAACAAATTCATCAAAATTATAATACCAAACTAATACAGATTTTTCAAAGTAGCATATCTTATTTGCTACGCGGTATTAGGTATTTTTCTTGGAACTAAAACGAACTTATAAGCTTCGTATTCACTTTATATTAAATTATTGTAAATCTATGTATAAAAGTTCGAACATTATATGCATTCTTTTACTATATAAAACCTGATAAATATGACAGTGGGTCGATGCTAGGATGGTGAAATACGTGACGTATGTTAAAGTATATAATTTTCGAAGACGTACTTAAACTTCCCACAGTACCGAGTCCTCGTCCAGCATATTTCATCCACCAAGCTACATCGTCCTTGGCAACAGGGTCTTGTCCTGGCCTCTGCATGATCGTCATTATTTTTTCGGAGAGCGACTAAAACAGTGACGGTACCATCGTTCTTAATACCATGACCATCTGTCGAGGCGATCATGTTCTCAGAAATTTCGAAGACATTTACCATTTTGACCGTTCCTCTTCTTCACCAGCTGACAGGACCAAATGGAACTGACAGCGACAGCACACTAAGGATCTTGTTGTTGTACGGAAAATCGATCCGCGAGTTCGAGTTTCTTAATTACGTGGGCAGAGGCGCTTCTATCTGTCAACGATTTTAGTTCTCACGTGAAATTTTCGATGTTTAGGTGGTTAGGTAGTTAGGTAGCACGTTAGGTGGATAATGTTCCTGCTACCTGCAGTTGCCAACCTACGTGATTCAACATATCTGAACATAACCTCTTAGCTCGACAAATCACTATTAAATTAGATGTTGAAACACCAATAAGATACGAGCATCTTGAAGTTTATTTTCTTAATTAACAAATTCTTAGAGATAGAATATGATTTCGATCGTTTCTCTTGAAATTAAAGTGGAAATACAATACTGTAATAATAATACATAACAATTATAATACACAACAATAATGATTTATCGCATAAAAAATGTATACAGTAGTGATTAGATTCCAGAATGATTCCTGATTGGTTGATGCTTCACAGCTAAACAGTGCTGCCCTCACGGTTCTTGAAAAAGAGAGAAAGTGACGAGTGAGCAAGAGAGTACGGTTCTCTTTCTAAAGCAACTGCGCGAACCTGGATGTGCAGTAAAATGGTGGGGATAAAAATGCTTACTATGGTTATGTCAGTGGACGGTGAGGATGACAGCATTGGTTCAATTTTCTATTCCGGAGACATTATCGCATAAATAATTAAACATGGATGAAGTTGCGAAGCTCGAACATTTGTCATTAGTATCAAAAATTTGCACAGAATTGGAGAATCATTTGGGATTGAACGACAAGGACTTGGGTTAGTAATGTAGGAAACTATTCTATTTATTGCTTAAACAGTGACGCATACAAAATACAATACAAAACGACAGTAAAGAAAGATACAACAATTCTCGTAATCGCGTATGCCGAAGTCGTAAACCGTGTTCGTAAGCCGTATTCATTATAATTCCGTATCGTAAATCGTGATCGTGATCGTAACCGCGTTCGAATTCAGCCGTTTCGTTTCATCAGCGCCTAACGCTCACTGATCGTCATGTTTAGATCGCGACGCTCACGTATGCACGCACACGCATGTCGCCTGAGGTTAACGTACGGGAGTCCGCGAGCACCGATCGGTATTATGATTTCGGATTCATGAAATCGTAACGTGTTCGCGGATGCTCTAATCATCAACCTTCGGCTCCTACTCTGACGATTAATCATTAGTTCCACGAGTTCATGATGTTTTGTTCATTTTACAGCCGAGTTCATTATTCATTTAGCAGAGAAAAATAGCACCTTTGACAAATTTAAGAAGGTTCTCCTAGAAAATGGAGCAGAATTCTCAGTAAGTAATTTATAGAACCGTATTTACAACTTTTCTTAATTTTACACATTGTAATGTATCATTCTTTCATTAGGAATCATTCATGGCCAATCTCTTGAGGATAATACAGCACATGAAACCCTCTAAACCAACACCGGACAAATCTGCATTGTCTGCCATCAAACAAGATGAATTAGCCCAAAAATTCCCTGGCTTAGCTTTGCCAAATGAGGAGCCAAAGGTAACAGATATTAAGGACCTCAAGGATGACGACATAGTCAACAATGCAATGGCAAGCTTGGAAGAATTGGCACCGTCTCACAAGAAGCCTAGCAATGAAAATAAAAAGGAGAGTGAGCCATTAGAGACTGACAAAAAGATCAAACACTCCAGAAGGAGTAGATCTAAAGACAGAAAAAGACACAGATCGCGTTCGTCCAATCGCAAAGAGAAAAGGCATAGATCACGGTCCCATTCTAGATCACGTGGTCGTTCGAGATCTAGGGACAGAAAGAGGCGAAGGTCGAAAGATCGTAGAAGATCGAGATCACGAGACAGAAAATCCCGCGATCACAAAGACCGACATTCTGGTAGACATTCTTCATTTAGAAATGGATCAGATAGATCCCGATCGAGATCCGTCGAGGAAATGTCTATGGACCCAGAAGTTGGGAAGATTTACTCTGGGAAGGTCGCCAATATTGTCCCTTTTGGCTGCTTTGTGCAACTGGAAGGCTTGAAACGCAGATGGGAGGGACTTGTTCATATTTCCCAACTACGAAGGGAAGGAAGAGTTGCCAGTGCCAGTGACGTAGTTTCTAGGGGCCAGAAAGTTCTGGTGAAGGTTCTCAATATTGGTGGACAAAAGGTACGAGCCATTTTACGTCCATTTTAGGTCCGAACGTCTTGCAGCCTTAACTAGACGTCCTTAAGACGTTTCAAAAACGTTCCGAAACGTTGTTTCGACGTCTGAGATTTACGTCTTGAACGTTGTTTCCACGTTTGAAGTTTACGTCTTTAAAACGTTTTAAAGACGTCCCGAAGTAGACGTTTCAAGAGA